TCTTACTATAATATTTTATGTAAATTTCTGAATCTAGGCGCTGTATAATATTTCCTAGTGTGATGCTGAAAATTAAAATATCACTATTTAAATTAATTAATATTATTTTAACACTTAAGTTAACATGCATTTTAAAATTTTCTTAATGATTAATTAAAGTGAACATTGTAAAAGTACTTTTACTTTTTTATCGCAAAAAGACATAAAATGCCTAATGTACGAAGTTGTAAAACGTTGCAAAGTGGATCTGATAATTCGAAGATGTAAATATCTTACTAATATTATAAATGCGAATGTTTGGATGGATGGATGGATGTTAGAATCAAGATTTTTTTAATTTCAGCACTGCTGCTAGTCTAGTTATAAAAGAAAAAATTTCGTCGAGAAAATTTTCTAAGCTAAAAATTTGCTTATGGAATATTATTTGGAAAATCTGTTTTTATTTCCACTGACGTCGGCATTTGTTTGAAGGATTATTCACTTAAATATAGGATGTGATGAAACAGGCCTCCCAAGGTGGTTAGCGAATGAATCGCCAAGTCAAAGCACCGGCCCGGTCGGCGGTCCGGGACCTCCGCAACATTATTTGCGACACGTCACCACCGACGACCACAATAACGACCCAACCAAATCCATACACCTACAATTAAAGCCGATACATCTTTAAACCGTTCACATAAGGTTCACAACTAAATATGCTTAGTATTTGCAATTTAAATGTAGTCGCGTTTATTCTTTACGGCCGTAAAGGCACCCTATCGATTTTCCGCAGTTCTTAGAACATATATTGATTATTCGTATTTCGGTGACAGACGGATACGTATCTGTACTTAAACGCTTCGTAACTACACAAATATATACATCCTGTGTGGCCGTGTCAATAGTTTCGCTCGAACATCCGTTGGCACGGAAAAACTACGTTAGCAAATGAGAAAATTAAAAGTATGCCGTGACTAAGATTTGTTTTACTAAACAAAACAGATATTTACATATGTGGATACAGAGTACAAGATAATATACACTTAATATTATTTGCTTAATTGTTGTTGATTTTTCTACCATAAATTTTTAACCTTACGACGTACGCTATAAGTACACGGCTGGTGTTATGAAAACCGTATCTGTAACACTTTTTAATTCGGAAATTATTAACTCGACCGTTACTTTAAGGCAATTTTACACACTCAATTTGCATATCATTCAGATGGCAAATAAATTATTCTATTTCACCGATATTTAAATTTAGAATCTGTACCAATTAATAAGAAATTGTTAACAAATTATATCTTATCTTACTAATATTATAAATGAGAAAGTTTAGATAAATAGATGGATGTTTGTTTGAAGGTATACCCGGAACTCAAAACAACGGCTCAACGGATCTCGTTGAAATTGGGCATAGATGTAGAACATAGTCTGGAGGAACACATACGCCACTTTTTAAGTTTTACGCTTTTTACTACGCGAACGAAGTCGCGGGCAATATCTAGTTTACCAATAATTGGTAAATGATAATAATCGAAACACCTGCACCTAAACGTCTGTCTTTAAATAACATTTATTTACATTGGCCAAGCAATCAACAGGTCGTAAAAAATCTTAGTATTGCAACCCAATTGTTGTCTAACAGCGTTGAAAATTAAGCGATCAATTTCGTATTTACGACTAGCTCACACCTCGACGTCGTAACATTTGTGTTTATGCATAATTTTATTAGATACCTACCACACGATCGCCTGCAGTTTTATTTGCACATATTGATATCTTATTTTTATGTTAAAATTCATTTTGTGTTTTATATATACAATATTGTTGCATTTTATCGACCAATTCCGAATATAGGAGTGAATCATAGTGATGTGTTTTAAATATTGCTTTTTTTTATAAGTCAAACCTTTTTTTTATAATTTTTTCAAATTTATTGTAGTCCAGGAGGCTACAGACAATTAATATAAGAATTTACCTAGTAAGTAATTATTACCGACTTCATTGTATTCACTTAGACCTGTAAGAAGTTAAATTAGATTCTTACCAAAAAATAAATAGATTTAGGAACAGAATTTTATATTATTGAGGCGCGGTATGTAACTATAACTGGCGCGAATGACATGCTTTCGTTACAAAATCAAGTGTCAGAATGATTAGTGAGGGGACATACATAAATGTCGACATTTTAGTAAGGCTAGTGTTGCGCCAGTACACCGGTACAGTGTCGGATTTTCTTCCTAACACTACTTGAATATTGAAATAAATCCAAACACAAGTTAACATTTATAAATAAACTATAAATAAAAATTGTAATCAAACATAGGAAAGTATAATAATAGCTTGATAAATGCTTAGACAAATCGGAGATATAAAATCGAATGGAAACTTTTAAGAAAATGATCAAAAATAATATAAGTTTAAATGTTAAAGAAATAACAATAAATAAATAGCATTAGGTATCGATAATGATTGAATGCATTTTATTTTAATGCTGTAACAAAATACAAATCACATTTACCTCTAATGGTGTTAAAAAGACGTGTTAAAGACGATATTTATTGTCGATGAATATGAAAATCCGTTGTGAATTATGTGTTCTCAAGATAAAAGATAGTGGCCTCAAGTGTTTCGCACCGACCTTGCTAAAGTGTCAACATATTTTAGGAGACAAAAGATTTATCCTTGTAATTATTATGATAACTTTCCGTACTTGGATCGATGTGAGAATGAAGATGTGAATAAAAGATAAAAAAATTAATATATTAGAAAATCTTTAATGCCGAGTACATATAGTCATTGGTTGCTAAGATATTTTTAAGTATATAAACATAATTAAAAAATCCTCCTTTTAGGACAATGAAAACATCCCATGATTGACAAAAAAAATCTCATAATGTTGTCAACAAAATTAATCAATAGATACCTTTTATCGTCTACCTAGACAAATTACTGATTAGGTACTATCAGGGAATCTGTCGGTATTCCAACTTAAAAGTGATAGTTGAGCGTTTTGTGAGCATTAAGACCAATAGGACGCAGCTTTTGAGTATGTATGTACGTTAATAGGTCTATCAGTGGTATACAACTAATTGTTTTTTATTATAATGCTATTGTTTGCTCAGCTCATTGCTACCTACGTAAGAAAGGTTGTGGTTTGTCTTGTTACAAGGAACAAGGCAGTAGTTCTGTAAGTCGAATACATCGAAGGGCCCTGACTGTACCTAACCAGTGGTAATTATGTGTATTAGTTCATATTGACATTAAAAATCTTAAAATAGAACTGGTTTGCGAAGAAGATTTACTATAATAAACCTTTTTTTATTTCGTAACGTGTCTATACGTGTAGGTAGAAAAAAAAGACTTGATTCAGTTATGACCTGGTCTTCCAATGTTATGACTTCTTTGTCTCGCGTTGATAGATTTATTATTATCTGAAATTAAATTAATTTAAATCCGTATAAACTTAATAAAACATGTTAATTGATTATAGATAAATATGTAGACAATATTCGACAATAGAAATATATGTTCAAAAAAAAACGAGGAAGAAAATAACAAAAAAGACATTAAAATATTCCCTGTGACATTTTGGTTTTAATTTATTTTGTAAAAAAAAAACTCGGTTACCTAAACCAATTATATAATATATCCAACACAAATCTATCGAGTCATAAATTTTATGCTAATAAATAAATTATCTTGCATCCGGGTTTTTATAAATACAATATGATTATTAGTTTTAAGCCACCTGCGCGTTAAGCCACCGATATTATAGACCTTAGAATTATTTAAATACAGGAAAAAAAAAGTCAAGCGAAGTTTACACGCTGTTGTTACCCTTCCATTTTCATCAAGTAAATATATAATTAATAAAAAAAATTTAAAGCTCATCTTTTCGGATTCCGGGAAATCGAAAATACAATGGAAAAGAACAACTCTAATATCAGATGTTATTATTAATAAATAACACCATTATTTTGTGTTATTTCTTTGATTAAAATAATGAAGAAAAACAGTAACATAGTTTTCATAAAGTATAAAAATCAAAATGTGCAAGAAATGTTTTTGTTTAGGATTTCTACAATAAACAGACGAAGAAAACAAAAAAAGACTTATATATCTTGGAAATTGTGTATAGAACTATCAACGCTATTGTAGAAACTTACAAATAGAGCAGATTTAAATCAGTAGAACAACACGATTTACCTTACTTACTCTGCTGGCGCATCGACCCATAGTGGGCCTTGGCCTCCGACACATGAGATCGCCAAAGTCTCCTGTCTACGATTTACCTACATTTGTAATTATCTTTTTTAACAGACAAATAAGAGGTTTAGCGGTTTTTAACTTCGATTTTATCATGATTGTATTCTGAAAGTTATAATACTAAAATATATAAAACTCCTTGGTTATTTATTAATTAAAAGTAGAAGTTATTATGCATGTTAAGTAAATTACAGTTCACGTTATAACCCTCGTCATAACTTCCTGCAAAATAAACATTCAATCGTTTTATTATTTTATTGAGTCATGTGATATTTACCCTTTTATTGTAGATATCATTTTAATTGTATTACCTTCAATAAAATATACCAATAGGAATAAAAGCAAAGTTTAGGTAGTGAGACTGATAACACGACCCACCTTATTGTACCGTTATCAACCACTTAAGACGTCTTTATCGACCTTATCTATAGAACTATGTGAATTTAAAACAAATATTAACTCAAGGTGCAGAATACACGACAAAGACTTGGATTTTTCCTTCTTTTTACTCATCTTATCTAAATTACAATACTTAAGGCGCGGCGTACTTGGAAGCGTTAATTAGGCGGAACTTTAATGAATTGAAGGTGTGTTTTACCTACTTATAAAGATTTAAGTAGCAAAAAATTGTGAATATTCATCGAAAGATTGCCAAGTCGAGTGTCGGCTGGCAGGCGCGATTGTTTTAACAGCAACGTAAATTATAACATAGTCGGGGCCGCCATTTGCATTTTTATTGTCCCCTGCATCACACCGAATGGATTAAGTCGGTAAAATAAGCGAGCGGTGGAGCGCAAAATTGAATTATTTATTATATCGTATCGTTTGTAAAGCACAATTATTCGGCGGCCGTGTGGCCAAATGTCGATGTCTTTTTTTCGTATCAGTTTGATTCGGTGCGGTCCTGTAAAGTCGCACATTTGCGCTCGAAAAAATCCACTTTAATATTGTCACTATTTCCTTGTCAAACGGTCGTATCGGAGCATTTCTCGAATACGCTCCGAATTTAATAAAAGTTTATTAATTTTTTTATTTCTTTTTCGGGGTAATTTTATTTTTCTGTGAAAATGGTGCTCATCGGAATAGGTAAGTGTTTTTTTTATTTTACTTATTTAAATATTTTTCTACAGCTATTTTTTATTTGTTTAATGCGAATTTGATAATAAAAAATTCATCTTCAAATAAAATAGACATTGATTTAAAAAGCGATCGTTCGTACATGATTTAATGGGGACTGTTGAAGGCACTACAAAGAATTCTCTGTGGAATTCGGTGGCAGATTGCAGATTAGTAGCATTAATCAAACGAGTTATTTGCATTGAAATACCTTTAGTATATATTTTTTTAATTGATTTTAATCCCTTTAGGATTTCTTAAGAAAAGCTTTTTCGCTTTTTATTTTAAATAATCGATAACTAATATCGATAAATGAAACTCTGACAACATTTTTTGTTTTGGTGAAATATATGCGTAGGCGAAAACAGCCGGCGGCGAGCGACTCGGGCTTGAATGGTTTTCTTTTTAATTTATCAGTGGCGCAACAGTTAAGCGATTAAGTTTACTGTGTCAGTGACTTGACTATGACAGACTCGGGAGGACAGACATGTGATCGTATTGCCATCTACATAGCGGAGTACAATTGCGGTGGACGGGAACCGTGCAGCGGGCACGATCACTGACAGACTTACGTGTAACAGACACAAAGAACGTTCGTTCAAAAGGCTAAAGAATTTAAGCTCCGCTCTAGACGAAAGTTCTCACAGCATCATGAGAATGCTTTTTACAATCGATATTCAAAAAAAGAATAGCATCGATGTCTCCGTTGTCAACGGACAATTCTTTCGAAGATCCACTGTTAAAGAAAGGAATTCAAACTCTAATTTTTCTCAGTTAAGATTTACAATCGTTCGATGGCTTTTTAACGTTTTATTGTTCCGTTTCGGTATGAATTGCGTCACCGACTAAAAAGACAAAGCATGGAACGATCGGCTCGCATTGTCCGACTAATGATGAGCCAAAACACTATTTTTAGATGGCTAGTTTCGCTGTATAAGGGCAACACTTGATCTTTGTAAAGATATTTGCTTTTATGGCACCGGTAGCATACTAAGATTGTCGATACCAGTTTTGTACGAGTACATCCCTCGGGAATGTGTCGATGTATCGATACTATAATCATTTTTTGTTAATCTCTAACTAATTACACGCGACGACATCTAGTTAGTTGTTTGAATCGATTAAAATCTTAATTTAATATGTAAGCTATAAACAACTGGAACCTTTACCTCCGTCGGGTTGCCAGATGATTCTGATAATCGATATATTTCAATTCTAACGAATTAAAAAATCTTCAACAAATTAACCTCAAAATTTTTAATGTTTTTTCAGTATTTTTTTTCACATTCAATATCGATGTGTTGCTTTAAAAATGTAAATTAAAAAAAATTATATTTTGTCATTGAATTTATCCGTCAAATAAATCAATACGTTTATTAATAATCTGTGAAAGACCGGTTGCAAACAGATTATCTTTAAATAATGTTAACTGAATTGTAATGTAGTATAATCAATTTGTGTGACAGAAACACTTTCATTGACCTCACTGACCTTACGTTGGTTTAATTTTATAAAACATGCAGACTAGTTTGTAAACGACAATATTTTAGATATACGACGGCTGATAATATAAAACTTATAAATATATTTATTTCACTTATTTTTTTAAAATTTCATTATGTGACTGACATTGTCAAAGACAATACAACATTATGAAGCTATTACAATATCATTTTTATGTAGAAAACTGTCAGAAAATATACACAGAACAGTAAGAATTGCCTTAACTTAACCATAACTTAACTAATCACTTAACTGTGATTTAACATCTTACTAATATTATAAATGCAATTTTTTGGATGGATGGATGTTTCTTTAGAGGTATCTCCGGAAAGGCTCAACGGATTTTAATGAAATTTGGCACACATGTAGAACATAGTCTAGAAGAACTTCTACCTACTACTACTAACTACTATTTTTTTTTCGATACCGCACGGACGGAGTCGCGGGCAAGAACTAGTTTTAAAAATATATTTATGTAATCGATTAATAATATGTTAAATAAATAAATATATCAATTATTTCGATAGTTTGACGGTTAGAAGAAATTAGCAACGCATCGAATCGGTGTGGTCGTTGTTCAACAATAGAATGAAGTCCTTATTC